GACCATTTCAAATTGTAGGCAAAAGAACCGACACATGCCATGGGTGAGCGTCTCAAAAGTGGCAACACCAAGTCGTGAAAAACATGAGTTACAGGAGATCGGACGTTCCACTGCAGAACCAAGGAAAGCCAACAGGGGTCCAAAATCTTATAATTTCTTTCTACTCACCTACCAGATTTCATGACAATTCATCCATAGCTTCTTGCGTTGTGGTGCTAAACCACATCTAACAACATACATCCAAACAAACGCTGCCGATAACCTTTAGTGCGAAGGTAATGAATTCGAAGAAGAAAATAGCCTGTGCGGTAGAACAACAGAAGGAGGCGAATTTTCCTGGCAAATGACGACGGATCACAGCAGACGCCTCTAGAAATTAAATGAGAAATCGTCAATATAAAAAAAGATGAGAATAGAAGACATGATTTTATAACATATGGCAACGTAACATATGGCAACGTATTGCAGCACCCTTTTGCAGACGTTTTATTGCACATGCTGATAACGAATGCAATTGCAGTCACACAGGGCTGTCAGGAAAATGTATCGCGGCTGATTGGGACTCCAGACGGGGGGTTGAATCAAATGGCTTACAGTCGCATGCTGATTAATCTAATAATACGACAAGTAAACGTATTACTCCCCACTTACTGTGAATAGCATTAAATACTGTTAAGCGAAACAACGTTAGTACCTTCTTGCCTTTCTGGTCGCGTTGTGAGGAGGCTCCTGTCTTTTGAGTTTCTAGTACGTGCCGCTTGTCATTGCAATGAAATGGAGTCTGTCTGTCTGTTTCTCTGTCTCTATAGCAGTACTAAATGTACTTTTGCTACTAACGTTCGTCTTCTGTGGAAAAACGATGCTTCATAAGCGTTTCACTATTATTTTTTGAAGTGCGCGTCTCGCATCTCACGTACTTCGGCGGTATAAGTGGTGTAGCTTTGTCCCTATAAGATGGTCGCCCAGATATAAATCTCTCCTATGAATGTGTTGAGCCTTTTGTTCCAGTTCTTCTACTACAGACTTGAATGAAAAGGTCCCACATCATATCTGTTGACCCATGATGCCCTTGGAATGATCAAAAAGCGCAATCTTACCTGTCTCTTTCACTCTACAGCGTCTGTATTCAGTCGTGTACGTTTGTGCACCTTTTGAAATGCCACACAACCTGCATGGAGAGCCGATCGAGCGGCCATTTGCAGGCTCTTGCCTTCTTACTCTTAGAACTGCAGGATTGTAGTCAGTCATCTATGAAATGCAGACTTCTTTTCAATCATCTATATATGTGATATATGACATGCGATGCCCTCCGTAAAATCCACGATTCTTATTAGTGGTGAAACGCAAGCTTTTACTCAGTTGTGTATAAATCTAAGTTTGTTGTAGATCTTCTAAGACCTGTATAGTGTGGTTCTTGTCCATGGTCTTTGAAATGTACGATCATAATCAGACATCTGGGAAGCGCAAGCTCCTCACTTATCTATGAGGCACAAGAAGCCATCTTGTTAGTCATTTATGAAATGTGATCCCCTTGTCTCTTATCTTTGAATTGTAAGCTTCTTTTCGGTCATCGGTAGAATACATTATTCTTGAAGGTCATCTATGAAATTCAATCTTCTTCTTAGTCATCATTTGAGGCCCGCCGTTTCCACCGAATTCCAGAAAAGTGCGCTGCAGCAATTGATTGCTGCCATGTACTAACGTTGAACCTACTCCGAATCCATTGTGATTTGAGGACATCGGCCATGCATACACGACATGTAAAAGATTTGTGCGTGCTTACAAGGATAGGAAACAATTTCATCACGTTATTAATAAATCATCAGCCTGTTAAAATTAGCATCAGTCACTGATTCATTCTGATGCACACCCCCTCCCGGGGGGATTTACTCATACTTATTCCTCCAGTTTGCCAGTCTGCAGTTTATCAGTAGAAATGGGGAGTCGGGCAATTTTTCCAGGCGATAACACGGAATAGGGGACCACCTAGTATCAACACGATGGAGGCCTCGGCTTAGTCGGCCAGCCTTGGATGTTTGTTATGCTGCAGCCTAATGCATCAACCAACTAGAGTCCCGCGATCTCATACCTTCGCCAAATGATGTTAATCGTTATGACTGACAAAGATGATTCCTTCTGATTATGCAAATAGGATCTCGAATTATATCAGTTGATCATATTCTCGATCAAAAGAAAACCATTCTATCATTTCCTCATAAATTATGCAAATGAGGTCCTTATTTGAATAAGTTATGATTAATGATGTTCACCTTCACTTAACTTTCAAATACCCCAAGTATGAAATTACAGACAGTTAGCATTATGGAATTATAACATTTTCTCATTAATTATGCAAATTAAGTGTTAATTTACATAATAAATATCTGCCTGTGTTTCTTTCGTTCTCAATTACATATGTCACAAGCTTGAATAGTCCTATAATGTAATGCAGCTGATTTATAGAATTTCTCAATTAATTATGCAAATTACATCTAGATTTGCATAATTGTCGTATAATTATGTCAAGTGTCACTTAAGCTACCTACATACCAAAAATCACGACGATCCGTCCACCGGTTCTTGAGTTATCCTGTTTGGAATATTTTCAAACAGATAGCCCTGCAGTTCCTGAGCAAACTCACGTCACTTCTTTCCCAGCAAAAGAGCTACCTATCCTACAAATTTCGTGACCTTAGCATGTCTAGATCATGAGATATCAAAACCGAAAGTTCAGCTGCAGTACCGTAACAAGCCGCCAGGGGGCCCAAAATCTAATCATTTCGAGCTCTCATCAAGACCTACCCACCTACCAAATATCAAGATAATCCATCTAAGCTTTCTCGAGTTATGCTGTTGACAGACACACAGACACACACAGGGCCAGGAAAACATAACCTTCGTCAATTCTTGGCGAAGGTAATTAAGAAAAGGCGTACATCACAAATCGTTTGCAACTTATTTTCACTCGTTTGGAAAGAAGGCCGTATGAAAATCCATCGTTTCTACTTGTTTTTTGGTATTGCACTGATAAGCATTGATTACCTAAGATAGACGGGGAGTATATTTAAATGTACATTCACGAGAGGACACAGAGGGTCATATGTGCTCTGTTATCGTGTTTGCATGAGTGGACCTTCCGCCTGCATATGCAGTGTGACATCGATATCGATAAGCGTCTACATGATAATAGTACTATTGGCACATTGTTTTATTTCATGACTCTTTATTTACTTGTTGGATCAGGGACATCGCCATTGTTTTGTTTTTCCTTAGTTTATATTCCTTTATTCTGATATTTTGTTGTGGTTGTGTATCTAGAATCTGGTTTTTATCTATTGTCCTGGCAACCGTTGATGTTTCTGATGACGACCCTTCATGTCCTCCCCAGTATCGGGCCCCGCGGTCATCGGGACGGTGTGCAGTGTCGTGCTGACCATCGCCGTGTCCGTCACTGTTTGCATCTGCCGCT